CCTCAGGCTGTCCATGATGGCGCGCAACAACCACGCAATAGAGCTTCTGGGCGAGCTACGGCTACCAGAGACTGGAAAAGGGCTAAGGCCCATGATGTACTGTCTGACTCAGACGAGGAGGGGGATGAGGGGTCTGACGCCCCGTACTCTGACCCGTACGAGGACGAGCTCTCAGAGGGTGAAAGCCTCCAGGGAAAGCAGTTCCCCTTGACACCAACGCGTACCCCGGCTCATTCAGGGGCGCCCGAGGCAGAAACAACCCGCGACCCTAAAGAGGTTCCGCTATTCGACCCTGACAACTTACGGCACCCACGCTCTGCCGAGTGGGAACCATCTGAGCACATCAGCCGATACCTAGCCCTCAGGGTACGTAAGTCCCTTTCTCAAGAGAGCCGTAACAAATTGAGAGCGGAGTGCCCCCGACCCATAATTCCTGATGCTGTGGCAAAAACCCCAGAAGTGGACCCCCAGATAGCCCAGTTTCTAGCCAAAACCGGCTGGAAGGCCAAGAGAGGACTAGATTACTCCCTCCGTAATTGTCAGGACAAGTTCCTAGACACTCTGGGTCCTGTCACTAAGCTGTACGAACTGCTGGAAGCAGCTCAGTCGGGTGAGGCACCAGTAGACTTTGAAGTAGCGTTTGGCTGGCTCCAACGCTTAGTCTGCATGATCGGCAATGCCAATACTGCCATGTCAACAGAACGCAGGAAGGCCATCCTGCTGAAAATCGAACCCAAAGCTGGCTAGTATGGCCTCCTCTGAACCAGGGGCCACGGCTAAGGGTCTGTTGTTTGGCGAATCCTTCGTCAAAGACCTGGGCTCCTATGTCAAAACATTCACGGCGCTGGATAAAGCCCAATCATCCATGAAGAGGGTCTTCCACCAAAAGGTTTTCGGTGGGGCCGGTAGAGGTAGGAGCCGTCTATCCGGCCGCAACCCCCGGGGTTTCTCAAGACCGGGCAGAGGCTCCTCCAACACACAGAGACAAAACCAGGAGCGTTCCTACACTCCATTCTTCCCTTCTCGAGGAAGATCTTGGAATGCCCGTGGCGGCAGAGGAACGACCCCAGGAAAACGCCCTTATGGTGAGTACGATTTTTCCCCATTTTTCCCATATAAATGTGGGGGGCAGACTGGCTTTGTTTTCTCAGACTTGGGCCACTATCACGTCCGACAGTTGGGTACTGCAGACTGTAAAGGGTTACCACCTAGAATTGACGGGTCTTCCCTTTCAGGTTTCCCCCCCACATGTACCACACATGCCACAGTTCCACTACGACCTCATCTCCACGGAGATAGAGACCTTGTACAACAAAAATGCCATAGAAGAAATTCCTCTAGATACCCCAGGTTTTATAAGCAACCTGTTCTTGGTGCCGAAGAAAGGCGGGGGTGTTCGCCCAGTTATCAACCTGAGACCCCTCAATGCCTTCATACAATATCGGCATTTCAAAATGGAGGGCATACACTGCCTCCGAGACCTCCTTCTCCCAGGAGACTGGATGGTGAAACTCGATCTGCAAGATGCATATCTCACGATCCCGATAGCACCAACACACAGGAATCTGCTACAGTTCCGGTGGGGCACAAAGAAATGGCGCTTCTGTTGCCTCCCTTTCGGGCTCTCCTCCGCTCCCTGGTGCTTTACGAAAGTGCTGAAACCAGTGGTAGCATTTCTCAGGTTACACGGGATTCGCCTCATTATCTATCTGGACGATATCCTCATAATGTCTGGGACACGATCCCTTCTGCTGTCTCACCTGTCGTGGACCCTTCACCTCCTGCAGAACCTTGGTTTCCTAGTGAACTGGGAGAAATCGGTATTACAACCTTCTCAACAGATGGAATTCCTAGGATTCCGAGTCGATTCTGTACAACAAATCCTGTGCCTCCCTTCAGACAAGATGTCCAACATCAAGAAGGAGATCAGGAGGATAATGAACCGTTCGGACATTTCTCTAAGACAACTGGCTCGGGTAATCGGCTTACTAGCAGCCTCTATACAGGCGATCTTCCCGGGACCGCTCCACTATCGGGCGCTACAACGCCTAAAAGCTTCCTGCCTAAGGAAGGGTCAGTCGTACGAATCCAAGAATCCAGGGAGGAACTGGACTGGTGGCTAACCCACATGGAAGCGTGGAATGGACGGGCGATCTTCGGTTCCACTCCAGACATGATCATCGAGTCGGATGCAAGCTTACATGGCTGGGGCGCGCGCTGCGGCTCCATATCCACAGGAGGCAGGTGGTCAGTAAACGAATCATTCCTGCACATAAACTCACTGGAACTACTGGCGGCCTCATTTGCCATTCGCAGCCTCACACCCAAGGGCGTCTCATGCTTGATCCTCCTCAAGTTAGACAACATCTCGGCAGTCAGGTACATAAATCATCTTGGAGGTACCAAGTCACGCATCCTAGCGGTTTTGGCTCGAGACTTCTGGCATTACTGTTTACAAAACAACGTGTCGGTGACCGCGGAACACATTCCAGGCCTAGACAATTACACCGCAGACTGGAACTCCCGATATCTGAGGGATTTAGGAGACTGGAAGCTTCAACCGAAAGTCTTCGCCAGGATAGCTCGACTATGGGGTCCCTTGAGTGTGGATCTCTTTGCGTCCAGACTGAACACTCAACTTCCTCAATTTTTCAGCTGGCGACCGGACCCGGAAGCCTTGGCGACAGATGCCTTCCTTCAGGACTGGACCGGGGGACGAGCTTACGCCTTTCCCCCGTTCAACCTGATCGCTCGGACTCTAACATACATTCGACGCTACAGAACCTCGTTGGTCTTGATAACACCGTGCTGGAGATGCCAACCCTGGTTCCCCCACATTCTGGAAATGGCGACCGACTTCCCACGGTTGCTACCGGATCAAACGTCCCTGTTAACAAACCCGGATGGGGAGAATCACGACTTGATAAAACGGGGAATCCTCCGACTCATGGCATGGCTCCTTTCCGGGGACCCTGGGAAATCGCGGAAGTTTCGGGAACAACTACCCAACTCTTGGCGAACGCCTGGGCACCGGGAACACGGCGCGCATATGCTACGGCATGGAGAACTTGGTCCGATTGGTGCCTGGAAAGATCAGTGGATCCCATATCAGCTTCTGTAAAGACGGTACTGGACTTCCTCACTCAATTGTTCGAATCGGGCAAGGCATTCCGTACAGTCAACATCTACAGGTCTGCTATCTCAGCAGGCCATGATACGGTGGACGGGATTCCTCTCGGTCAGAACCCCCTGATATGTCGCTTACTCAAGGGTATACGTTTTTCACGGCCACCTAAACCCAGGTACGGATCCTTTTGGGATGTCAACATAGTGTTCAAATTCCTGGAAGACTGGCCCGACAACGCGGCACTGTCAATCAAACAGTTGTCCGCTAAACTACTCATGATTTTATGTTTATTATCCTGTAAACGGGTATCGGATGTAAGGGCTTTGGACTGGCTAGCCCGATCATTCACTCCAGAAGGGGTGTCTTTCGATATTTCAAGAAGAACTAAATCAGCGACTAAACAAGTTTTCTATCCACACCTCCCGCACCAACCAAAGCTATGCCCAATTCTGTGCCTAAAAGAATACGAAACCCGTACTTCTTCCCTAAGACCGTCGAACTACGGCCCGTTGTTCATTTCACTAAAGAAACCGCATCTACCAGTGTCCACACCTACTCTCGCCCGTTGGGCCAAATGGTTATTGGCCTCGGCCGGGATAGACGTTACAATTTTTTCGGCTCATTCGGTCAGAGGCGCTATGGCTTCTAAAGCTTCGACGATAAGGTGCCGGTTAGAAGACATCCTTAAGGCCGCAGACTGGTCTACGGAATCCACATTCAGGAATTTTTATTTTAAACCAATCCAACATTTTTCGGAAAGAGTCATTGCTCAGCTTTGAAAGAGCATAATAGGAGCCTCCGTGTCTTTAATAAAATTCCTAGATTTTACTATTAACATGACGTAAAGTCATGATTTTATTAAAGACACGGAGGCGAGTATTATTCCCTCCCACCCTCCCTGGGTGGAGGGATTGTTTTTTTCTCACGGATACCAACCACAGATCAGGTGGACTCCTACTATGTAGATACCTGTAGGTGCGCTCATACGTCTCTCAGGTAGGTGACTTTGTGATATAGTAGACATAATCTTATATTACCTTTTGATATGTCGACATGACTACTACTTTATACGACTTAGTTTTTACCTACTTGAAGTTACATGATGCAACCAGTTGCCGACCATATATTACCATATTTTCTCCTCTCTTTTAGCCTGAATAATACGGTCAAAGTGGTGATTTTCCGTTACAAAACGTTACAGTTTAACCTCAAGGATTGGACATTACCTTTCGCCCACTGTTCCTGTTCGGGCCAAGTTACAGTTCGGTTATGGATCTGGTCTTCGGATCACGGAAGAAAGAGGAAGAAGCATGGAGTGCTACACCTTATATACTAAGGGGGTGGATACCTATGAGCACTGTTCCATATGCTAATGTTATTGTTATTTTTTCTCTCATTTGCATATATCTCTCTTCGCTGCTGAGGGAGAATTAAAGAAAGAGAAGTATAATAGGAGCCTCCGTGTCTTTAATAAAAT